GGGGCGTGCAAAGGGGGGGGGGGGGGGAGAACATTGCCCTCCCCAGGCAAATCCCAGGTCTGGGGTCAGGGAGTGCTGTACTCATAGTGTTAAAACACCCCTTCCCCAGTTAACACTTGCAGCCAGCAGTGACTGTGGACTACAAGTCCCAGAGGGATCTGAAAGCAGGAAGAGGAAGTGATGAGCAATCCTGCAAAGTCCTTCTGCTTTAATTCTGGTCCCAAAGACCTTGGGAGCAACAGGAAGAGGAAGTGAACATGCAGGCTGAGAGCCAGGCTCTAGTGCCCCCCAACTTCTGGCCTGAGCCACTGCACACGTGGTTGCATTTCCTGAATCAAAGATAAATGTCTGTTCACTTCTGTTTCAGTTTAATTTGTGCAGTTTAGACTAACTTGCAAAGACAATCAATTCAGCCTTCAGCTTTCTGACTGTCTATACAGTCTCCACGATACCATATACGTGCAGTAAGTACCCCAAACCTAGTCCATACTAGGGACTTCTAAATACCAAGGGGTTCCAACTGTTTTAGAAAGTTACTGTAGAGGATACAAAATTCTACTTCTTTGCCGACACAGTGTTCACTAATCAACCTCTTAACAGGTTATTAGGTTCCAATGCATTAGAAGCAATTGATGCGCATCACTACAGAGAAGGCTGTCCCTAAAGACTTTGTGGAGACTTTTGCTAGAATATGCTCCTCATCTGCACTTGGGCTTTTCATCTCCACAATTCTCACATAATCCGAGACACCAGAGCTCAGAAACATATACAGGGGCACACACCCTCAATCTAGCTGATACAGATAAGGGTACAGGCCCTCCACCCAGAGGTCCCCAGTCCCTTAAGGACTGGTTATTTCATCACTAGGGTATGGTGTTGGCAATGTGGATGGGAGGGAGGAGATTTCTGTTAGGGCATTTCTCCAGCTGCTTTGTATTTAGCCCCTAGCACACCTACAGGATCACTGATACTGTAGCAGAAAGCCCCTTTTCCTCTTGCCTGCAGTTACTCTCCCCTCCTTGGATATGTTTTTCCTCTTCTACCTTTTCTTCCTTCCTCTTTCTTTCACTTTAAGATAAGGAATTGTGTTTTGAAATTTGTGTGTGCACATTTTGTATCTCCCCTTGTATTTTGGTATTTTTATCTATTTGTGCACCATGGCATTACTTTTGTAGCTTATATTTTATACTCCTCACCTTTCAACTAAATGTGTTTAGTTTCATAAGTAAGTTATACATTGTAACAATGTTAACAAGGGCAGGAATCAAACTGCCCTTCCCTGTATCAGGCTGCCCCTGAAAGAGGGAGTGAATCAGTGATTGAATGTGTAACACGGTAGCAGGCAGCTATTAACACCTAAGGAAACTGCAGATCAGCAAATGGAAGAACTCAATAGAAGACAATGTAGCAACCAGGACATCTCTAAATGTCACTGATCAAGGGCTAGAAGCCCTGGCCTGAGTTCATCAATGCCAGGGACCAACTTTTGGGCTGAGTATCTCCAGATCAACTGCTCCCAGAGCCCTATTCAAAATTCATCAACGGACTCCCAAACCTGCACGTACATGCAGATGACCCCTGGGGCTGACAGATGCCATCCAGTAGCCACCGAGGGGGGAAAATCCCACGAGGGTCAACAACCCCTGGATTGGGCAACCCTGAAAACTGGGGAGTCACCGAAGTCTGCCAAGGACAGATAAAAAGCAGTGAAAAGTGACCCTCAGTGGCACCCTCTTGATCTCCAACTTGACCAGCACCTGACCTGTCCAGCCAGAAGGACCAGCCGGCGACCCCCTTCTGGAAGATAACACCATGCTGAAAGAAGCCTCAACGACAGACTCCAGCACCTGTGGGATAGGTGTGTGCATGCGCGTGGGGAAGGACCAGCCCCATGGTTTATGATTTCACTCATTACAGGGTTTCAATCCGCCTAATAAACCAGAATTTTAAGGATCCCGAGTTGGACATTTGTAGCCAACAATACTATATATCAGGTACAGAATCATTGCACTGGGGCTCCCTAGCTTTCGCAAACCCCCCAGCAGTGAAATAAAAGGCTTCAGGGAACACCATGAGTGTAGGATCAGGTCCTCTCTCCCACCCCACTTGATTTCTCTTCTTGTGACTTATTTATGGAGCAGCTTCATTTCATTCAGACAATACATATTTAAATTTTTACACTGTGATTTTAGGGCTTTGATCCCTTCAATTTGTTTGTTCTTTCCTTTGTGGGCTTAGATAAACTACATGATAATTCATAGCCAGCTAATCCAATTTGCCCATGTCTAGATATTCCAGCTTAATTTCAAGTGTCATAGAAATATAATGTTCAAAAAGAATAAGAGCGAGATCTGTCTCTTTGAACCAGCTCTGACCCTTGCCTAGGTAAAGAACTGGCTGCATTTTTGCTAAATTTATTCCTTCTCTATTCTGAGTTAATTTAGTGCTGAGGTCAGCCCAGGAAACAGAGTTAGAAGAAATCATCCCAGCATAGGGATGAAGCAATAGCAGCTTTTCCCCCTCCCCTGTGCTGGAGCTGACAAAGGCCATGTCAGTCCCTGAAGCAGATGAGAAGAGTCCAAGAGTTGTCCTGCCTTGTACCCCTTCCTGCCTTCTTCCAAGACCCTATAGGTGTGACAAAAGCAGGAGGACACCTGGCCATTCTTCCTGGCCCATTTTCACCATGGATCATCTTCAAAAACAGGAATTTCAGTGTGGGACCTGCCAAGCTAGCATTGTTCCAACTAAAGGGACCTGCTGCATCAGGATTTCCTTTGGCAGGTATGCCACTATGCTCCTGGGTATCTACATAAGTGATGCTAGACAACTGTGCCTTCAAGAGATCACCTAGTCCCTCTTCAGGACAGAAGGAAGGCCCATCTCCACAGTCCTTTAAATCCTGGCTCAGTTGTGATGGGATCAGCTGATGTTTGCAGCCACCTGCTGAGACTATCCACTGGATGGGGTCTCACAGGCCATTATGGACACTTTTACACATGGCCTGGGGTGGAAGAGGCACCACTTTAATTGAAGCAGATCTCGAAGTCACTCTAAAGCACTGCTGCATCTCCTCTATCAGCATCCCTGCACTTGAAAATGGCAGCGGATGTACCTAAACTAAAGCTTGGTCGAACAAGCTTTAGTTCAAGCACCCTCACTGCCATTTTTAAGTACAGTGACAGTGATACATAAGACTCAGGAGGCTGGTGAAGTGTGGCAATTGCCACGTCCCAGCAAACTTGATTAATAGAGTCTGCTCTAACACACTGGAATTTCAGCACATTGGAGCAGCCTCGGCACTTGTGTATAGGTGCCCTAAAAAGCCACCAGACAGTAGCAACTTCCTGCAGCCTGGACAGCCTCAAAGGTGACAGACTTCAACCCATTAGCAGTCCCTTTTGTATTTTTGCCAGTGATAAGACACTGCTTATAGTTTTGATATATTCCAGATTGCATTTGCAAGTTTGAAAGAAATATAAAGATCTCACAGTAAATATCAGATGTGTCCCTTTACCAGCCAGAAAGTCACAGCTGCATTCCATGCATGGGGCATAAATAATATTGCCATTAAAAACTGCAAGTTAAATACCTACCTGATGAGCAGCAGAACTGCATAGACTTCAGTGAAGCTGGGTTGGTTTATGGAGGCTGAGAATTGGGTCCCTCACACTATCTGTGGAAGGAAGGAGGCCTTGAAAGAAGTAAAATTTAGTGCATTAGTCTGGGCCAGCATCATTTCTGAACGGGCACTTTTGAAAAGCCACCCCTTTCTTATTCACTCATTGCTGTAAGTCATCCTCCTCACCTCATTAGCCTTTATCCATTTCTGGATCTGTTATTTATGCAAACTTTAACACAAACATTATTGTCCAGACCTGCAGGAACTGTAGGTGATGGGAGCAGTTTGAGGTGTTCTAGAAGGAACAGAAATTGTAGAAAGCTGGGTAGTAGTGCAAAGAGGGGGAGATATTAGAGAACTGGTGATTCAGACTGCTCTCACCTGGCTGCAATCAAAAGCCTTACAGCACATGGAATGACCCTATTAGGGTTAGGAGAGTTTTCTCCAATCAAAGCCTAAACCAATTCTCACAGGGGTCCATTCCAGCCCTTTCAGTGAGGCCAAAGGGAGATGGACTAAGACCATGCAGTAAAATTTATCCCTGCATACATGATGCAGCCTAAGGTCTATACCCCACTTAAACCCCAAGTCTAGAGAGGCATGGGCATTAGTCTAGGGCTCCACAGAGACTTGAATCACACCATTAAGGACAGATCTGCAATGCCTACTCTGGGGTTGCAAGGCATATTTTCCTAGAGCACTTCACACAGTTGAGTAGAGACCCCTACTTCTCATCAGTGCCACTGAAAAACTCCATGCATATTCTTTGGGCCCACTAATACCCTTTAGTCTGTTAATAGAAGGCATTTAAATAAAAACAAATAAGCTCTTCTCCCAAACTGGTCAGCCAGGGGTTTCTACAGAACCCTTCTTCAGTCAAAGTGGTAGACTCTGAGTTTTTCCCCCAGTGCCTCTGAACCAAACACCAGCAGTCAAACAGAACAAAGCAATCAGCATCTGCACACCCTATGCTTAAAGTCATAATCCCTCCTACATTCCCCTGAGCTCCCAGCTTTTGCCCAGAATGCCAGCTCCTCTAGATGTTCTATTCACTCCTCGCTTGGTTCAAAAAGATTAGCAGACAGCCCAATACTGCTCTCCTACCTTTGAGCTTTTTCCTTCTCTCTTCCCCAGCAGCTCTTCATATCCTGGTGAGGCTCCAACAACACACTCAGGCAAAACAGGAAACAAACCCCCTCTGCTCCTCACCTGGCCCTAAGCCTTTATGGAGACCAGGTGTCTTCTATCCACCTAAAATGGAAAACAATTACCCAGACACAGATGAAGTGGGCTTATAAAAATAAAAGGACCTGCTTCTTGTGAAAAGGGCCCACTGACTTTCTGACATGAGGTTTTAGGTGTTTTAAATAGGAACTCTTTTGAAATCTGGCTGTCAGTGAAAAAAAAAAAAGCAAATAGTAAGAGTCACCAGTGATGTTCAAATGCCATGTGGTAGCCTGTTCTGTACAGAGATATGCCTGGTAGTCCAAACTTAGCATGTTTGTTCTTTCCAGACATACCTGAAGGGGTAAGCAGCTCACGTATGCTTCATATACTCCTCTCCCCACATCACAGAATGCGCTGTCCTCACGGGTGCCACAGAGACACCAAACACTACAATGAATTTGAGAAAGCAAACCCATGAAGGGAGTGCCAACATCCAAGAACAGTAGTCCAAAGGTAGAAGCATGGTTAAAGCCACTCAGTGCTCAACCTGACTTCTGGGCAATCACGTACACAGGGAAAAGGATCCACCAAGCAGGAGCCAACTTCTGAGCTATGTGGAATGCTCTGTCAGGCATCAGGGTGACATATTTCCATAAACCCAAGATAATCTCCATTCCCAGCTACATGGCAGCTGTTGCTGCAGCAAAGAAGTCATTATTATGTCTGTTATTTAGATCAGATTCAAATTGATTTACTTTGTAAGAACCCCCAAGAGCCTCCTAACCTGGATATTTGGGCATCTGCTAGCCACCCCTCACCCCAAGACTGGGGAATAGAGAGGCCTTGCACCTTGCCTAGAAAGTCAACTGAGCAATGTCAGGCCAAATGTTGTGTGAGCTCTGGAGTCTTCTAATGCAGAGATGGCTAACCTGTGGCACAACAGCTGATCAGGGAGGGGACAGGCAGCACAGCAGAAGGCAGAGGAGGAGATCAGGCAGTGAGCACAGAGCAGGAATCAGAAGGCCAAGAAGGAGATCAGGAAAGGAGCACAGAGTAGGGAACCTACCTACCAGCCCACCCCCACTTCAATTATAGTGTCATTGGGTCTAGATCTCCTCACTCGTTCCAAAGTTCCAGAATGCTCCTGTTCACAACCCACCAGACAGGCCTTGAATTACAGGAAACTTTTTAGCTGTGAAGCAATGATGAGATCTTCATCAACACTGCCTCTAAATCACCCAGGAGGTTCCTCTCTCTTCTCACACCCACAAGAGCAGTAAAAGCTATTTCTAAGTCTTCTCAACCTCACCCAGTCCAATGTAGGGAGTGAGGTTCTGTTTGTCTGGTGGATCACACAGGAGTTGTTACCGAAGCAGGATAGACTGTCAAGGACACCCTCTTCACTTGATCATGTCCCTTTAAGGGGTAGGATTTCATCACTTATTAAAATGAAATAATCTGAGAAAATTCCCCTGCATAGGTATAGCAACAATATTCACCAGCTTTCTTACTGTAGTGTTTCCTGGGGGCAGGGTTAAGCCACATGGCAGTACAACTCTCTATATCCTATGCTAGTGCTCTTACCATCGGTACTAATGTTAGAGCTGCATCAGTGCAAAGCCTATGTCAGCAAATTTCCACAGAAAAAAATAGTGTAGTCTATCCTTAGCCCAAAGGGGAGAAGGTGGACCACAGTGCAAAAGATTCATACAACAATCTCCACATGATGTAAACCACATATTAGAAGTAATATGTGTCCATATAATAAGGGCTTATGTAGTACACAAGTCACTGCACCATGTTGGATTACCTAAAGCCAAGAGGTTTGGGGGTTTTATGGGCTTTTTCTATGGGGCCTCTATTATGGCAAATTTCACTCAGTCCAACTACACTCAGGGCTGGCACAGATTTACACAGCCCTAACAGATATGTGGGGCTAGGTTTCCAAGGGTTCAGCTCCTACAAGTGAAACCAGTTTTGCAGAAGAGCTTGGTTCCCATTTAGGTTTCTAGGTAAATCTGACTTTAAAATCTGTCTTCCATTTTTGTGTTAAACTCTTTATTTGGTGTCTCCTTATCCCCATGTCTCCACTGTACACCCATGTCACACTACCATCCAGATTGAAGCAGAAAGACATCTTCTCTGCTAATTGCCTGTACAGCATGTGGTACAGCAGGCCCTGATCCTCCAGTGGGGTTCCTGGGCTCTGTCATGATACAAAGTGACTTAAGAACAAATAAAAGTGCTTGGCCCCATTCTCTCTCTTGGTGACACTAATGGAAAGGTCTGTGACAGTTCAATGTGCTGAGCTGTTTTGAAAGCCTGGGACTCTTGTGGAACAGACTGACTCAGATGCTCTTCTGGCCATGGAAGTCTACTTGCCAGCTTTCAAAAGGAAATGAACAGCCTACAGAATTTAATGTTAAAAATTAATTTACTAAAATCAATCCTTACGGTAAAAGCCTATAAATGCATGGCTGAAATCAACTCCCTATGCATGGGTAAAGTCTTTGATGTGGGTTTTAAGTGGTGCAGAGGGCAGAGTACAGAACCTCCAAAATGGGGCAATTTTAGCCCCAATTAATGCTTTTTAATTAAAAGCCCACTCAGGCCTGAAACCCTGCACTCCTTCCTCCCCTTAATGCTCTAAATTAAAGGCAGTAGGAGTTTTGAGTGCGCAGAGAATATCAGATCCAGACTATGGATTTCTTCGGAAAATTCAATTTCCAAGCATAGGTATTTTCCACCACACGGTGCAGTGTGGAGTGATTTTCTTCTTATGACCCAAGTGTTACATCTAAGAACACAGCTGTTTTTAAAAGGAAAAGCCTGCAGGAGCTATTACTATTGTACCGTGATCATACTTTTCTAACCTGTAACCTTAGCCGTTGCTTCAAAGATAAAGACAGCAAATACAAATCCATTTTTAAACTATTATTTCTATCACCACCACCACCTACTCTGCTTTCTCACTTATTTCTAAAGAAACTCCTCAAATGGTCCCCAACAGACAGCTATTTTTTCTTTGTTTTGAATTGTTCACTAGAATTCCAGCGTCAAGTGTCATTACATTGAGCCACAGATCAAGTTAACAAAAAATGGCCAGCAACAGCCCTCTCATGAGTAAAATTTACCCCCTCCTTTTCAAAAGCACTCAGGCACTACACTGACCAGCATGGCCTCAGAACCAATGAAAAATAGAAATAGGCCATCAATTAAGGGCTGAGGAAGTTCCAAATCTGCTTCTGTAGGTCCTCCAAAGAGACCTCTCACAAAGCCACGGAAGGTCAGACTTGACTTCCCAAATATTTCTACGATAGAAAAAAAGTAGAGGAAAATTTTCAGGACTTCCTTACAAATAACAGAGATTAGAAAAGGGCATGACCCACTTTTTTTTTTTCTTCCTAAAATCACCTCTAAGCCATCCCCAGGGCAGGGGGCATAAATGGAGTTTCAAAGGAAGAAGCACTTGATACATATGTACTGGAATGAATTTCTCCTTTAGCCATCCTCTTCCAGATCTGATATTTCAGCACCTCACACTGAGTCCATTTCTTAAAAGCTGAGTCACTGTCTCTAAATATTACAGTATCTATTTTAACACCAGTTGGAATTCCACTGGTTTAAGATGAGACCGTGTGAATACCTAGATTCACTTTGGTTTCTGTAAGACAGACAACCCGAGTCAACCACAAGCAAACCCACTTAGCCAAAGTTAACCAAACACTTATTTTCCATTTTATTCAATAATTGCCTTTAATACTAAAATGCATTAGATTCTCAAAGCAGAGGGAAAAAAAAATCACATTTAAGTAGAAAACAAAATTCTCATCAGATGAAAGAAACATTGTGGCAGGTACACCATTTTGAAACAGAATTGTAATAATTTAATAAAGCTGCTTTATCTTCATAAAATAGACAGAATGGTAATTCTTTTTTCATTTTTTTGTTTACAATGATTCAATCACTGTGAAAATGTACATAACATACATATCAGCATATACAACAATTTATTCTTCGTATAATCAGCAACAGAGACACCATGATGAAACGTACTGTACTAAAGTCCCACTGAAATCCTGCCCTCCTTGGGCAGATGAACAGTAATGGTGTCATCAGGATGGTTCTCCGGGCTACAGAAGCTAGTAGCTGTAAGACTTAAGACATTCTGCAACTAATACCTTAGCATTTAAATAGCAAGGAAGTATTTGTTGCTGAAAACTAGCTTGCACTAGGTCAGCTCTTTGTCATTAAAGACTATATCCCACCTCATACCAGCTGAACATCAGCTGATCTCAGTATAAGATTAAATTTCACCAGTGCTTAGAGTGGAGTTAGCTGGGTTTTGTCTGCTAAGGTTAACTGCAACTCACAAGTTGGATAAGATTACTTGTAGCTGCAAAAGCAGCTGTAGAAACAAGATCATCAATTTTCCCCAATGACAGACAAATGTGTTTCCATTTGTAATTAGTTTTTTCCCCCTAGAGTAATTTCAACATATTAATCAAACAGTGTGTTCTTTACAAAAGCAACTTGTTTCCTGTTTAAAAAAAGTAATTCACTTCTGCACAACGTGTGATCCACAGGCCATCTCCAGTTTTGCAAGAAAACAGGGACAACTTCATCAAGATAATGCATTAAGTGCTCATAGATTATGGGGGTTTTTTTTCAACTGACAGTCTTCCCTCCCCTGCCCCTCATAGTCCCCCATTGTATGTTCTAGCATAAAAACAAAACCACTGCTGTAATGGGTGTCAATGTAAAGAAGAGGAAAATTCCATTTCTGAAATAATTTTCTAAACTTATTTCATGGAGTAGGTAAATGTTACATTTCCAACAGAGCATGTCATGTCTTCACTCACACACAGTACCTTTGAGGTCTGATCTCCAGGAGGTGCTGAGCGCACAATACAACATTGGTTTCATTTGGGGTTGGGGATCATTGGTACCTCTGAAAATCAGGCCTTCCTTACACTTGGTATAAAATACTAAAAATTTCTTATTGCCTGTGTTAATAGGTAGGCAGAGCAAGTTTGCCACAAAGAAATATATGGGGGGTAAGGAGGGCAATTATATTAAAATTATTTTCCTAAGTCAAATTGGATGACAGTTTAAGTTACCAAGGGATGTGTTAGTTACAACTTCTCCACACAAAAAAAAATGTGATTTTGGGGCAGCCGTATCTAAATGTGGCTATAGCTGAACTAACAAAATTTAACAGAGCTCAGCCAGAAAATCTGGACTGATATGGAATAACAAAAAAGAAAAAACTGACAATATAAAATACCTAGAAAAGAGGTACGACTCGCGTGGCTGACAAATCTTTACCTGTTCTTCCCTGGTTTCTCTTTCTTTCCACATGATAACAATATGTCTAGGAGCTGCCTTCTGCTCACTCTACATCCCTAGCTGCAGCACAGGCCAGGGTGGAAGAGACTGCTGTTTAAATGATTGTCTTGGAGGCATCAGGGCTTACTGACCTCTTTAATACTCTCTTTTAAAACAGAATTATTTCACGTTTTCTGGGCTGAGCTTTTATTCAGAGTAGCAAGGAACATTTCCTCTGGGTGAATTAGAGAAATGCTTTCTTTTTCTTTTCAGTTAGCATCTATTTTCACCCAAACACCACACTAGTGGTAACAGCATAATAGAGGCCCATGTTTAGCAGAAATTAACAGCTGGCCTCTCCCATGCATTTTACACCCACCAATTAGTTGACAGTACAGCCACTATCTATTATATTTTTAGATAGGAAGAAGGAGGTGGAATAGGATGGTCCAATTTGCACAGATCTGCAGCACAGTGTTCAGGGCCAGGAGAATCGGTGTTAATTAGCTGTCCTCCCCTCTCCCTCACCCTGATTGATAGTTTCTCCCAGGTCTGTAAAGGATAGTGTAAACACCCTCTGTAAAATTATCTGGCTTTGGGATGTTAAGTCCTAGCATAGCCTCCATGGAAGTCAATGGGAGAGTTCAGTGAAGCTGGATCAAGGCCTTGGTCAGCCAAAGCAAGAATAATGATACTGGTCAGTGTTGGATGTCAGCCAGCACTCTGCTCCAACCTATCTCATGCCAGGGAGCCAGATTAAATGGAAGCAAGGCCAGGCAAGTATACATAGCACATACATCTCTACCTGTTGTATACCTGGAGACGTAGGAGAAGCTAAGGAACAGGGGCTATACATCCATCAAGTGCTGGCTCTCTACCTCCAACTCATTTCTGGGAAGCACCTCTTGGAAACCAGTCACCTGTTGGTCTAGTTCTTATCAGGTGACTTACAAGCACCATGAGACCTACACCCTGTTCCGTCTGGAGGAGCTTGGACATGTTCAGTTTGTACCATTTGACAAACCAGTTCCCCCTGATTTAATTTATATTTGGGCACCTGAAAAATTAAAAACTCAAAATACAAGCTGAATTAAACTGTTAGGTTCACTAATTTGTTACAGGAACAACAGGCTTCATGGGCTTTGTAAAAAAATTCTAGTCATGAAACTCATGGGTTTGTGAAGAACTCCTCCCCTCTTCAGGAATCATTAAGAATTTCAAGGAAACTTCAACTCATCTTATCAGCTGGCCAAATCAAAACAGTTTGGGAGACATCCTCATGCTAAAGGTTGCAGGATTGCCATTTTGGGAGCTATATGAACAAGGGAAGTGTGTGTTGGAGGGGTGATACCATAGAATGAGGTTGGGTTACTGCTCCCACACATGCACACAAAAATGCTTCTTTCAAAAATTGTATATCAGGCCAACCAGGATTAGCTTCTGCAGCTAACTAATCAGGGACACCCAGGAACCTCCTGTGGCTCAGTAAAGAGACTTTAAATGCCTATGAATAAAGCCATCAGAAAGTAACATCAGAACAAACAAAACACCCAGCCTAGTAATTATAGGCAATCTCTATAAAACCCCATACCACCCTGTTTCCTCTATTGCTCATATAATCATATACATCTATTTCCAAAAAATTATATAGTCAATGACAGCAGTACAGTACTCAGATATGAAACAAAACTAGAATAAAAAGAATGTACTATTTAAAAGAAAATGAATCAAACTTCCCAGTGAAGGTAATAGAAGGAAGGAAGCATGGTTCCATTTTAGAGGGATGCATGCAGTCACACCAGCTCATAGGATTCAGCTTGCATGAGGTAGTAATTAACACCAGAAAAGAAAGCTCTAGTAATTACATTAGAAGTTACTTTTTATAGGGTATTTTCAAAATGTATTGGTAATGTAACAACTGGGAACCCATTTTAGAGAAGCTCAAACTTAACCATATTCATTTGATTCATCTTCTCTAAAGAAATGACTTGAGCTTATTTCTTTTTTAGGAAAATAAAGATTGGAGCCTGTTTTCCTGTTGACGTTTTTAATTTAAATAAATCAAAGTAACGAATATATTATCAAAACATGTGACACCTAGAAAGATTGTTTCTCTAGAAACCATTATTTGCAGTTTATTAGCAGTGTCTTTATTGTTTCCCTCCTCATAGTTAACTTTTAATCTCTAAGGAATATTATTTTGAGTAGAAAAATCTGTCCTATGAAGGGTTAAGAATAATGTACTAACCCCTACCAGCCCACCCACTCAAAACCTATTTGAGGAATTACCCATTACAAGAAAGTAGAGAATATACAATTCTGTGAAAATCCTCATGCCTTTCCATTCTATAAAATGGCTGTTAAAGTCAAGTAGATGGAATGGACTTGGTCTTTTCAAAATCAATTGTATATATGCAAATTCATAACCACGCAAAATATATACTTAGTGATGAGAAAAAAATATGAATCACTTTAATTTTCTCTCCATGTGGAAGGCACATTCATTTGATTAGTAGTGTTGTTATATTTCACCTGTCTGTTCCTAAAAGTATCTGCTATTGCTTACTCTATACCTATTTATAATGCAGGGAAAAAGAGAAATAATAACTCTAAAATCCATCCCATGATGAGATACATACATACACACACACACACTCATTTAGCATAATCATGATTGGAAAATGTTCAATCACGACGTGTGTGTCTAACAGAGATGCTAATTTAGATCTCTTAAATAATTCCATTGCTTTGACTCTGAGATGATTAGACAGGGAATATCTCAATTTAGGGACTCCTGAAGAAACTTTTCCATGTGGTGGCTTGAAATTACAATAAAGAAACAGATATCATAAAATGTTCAGCACAGTGCATCTGACAACTGGAAAACCAGGCAGAGTATCTCCAACATGACTTTCTGCAATGATCTTCTGTAGCCCTAGGAATTACAGTGAAGGATGCAAGGGGTGATGAGAAAGGGGAACAAACACTTGCTACATTGGCTCTGAAATTTGCAGTTTCCCCAAGTGTTAAATATAATGTTTGTGGTATTTTGTTCTGTTTTGTTTTAATTCAAAAGCCTTTTGCCATCACTAGACATACAGTAATTTGCAATATCAAATACGAGAATAGTACAGATAAGCATGTGACAGCAAAAGGATTCTTAATGCAGGGGTGTCCACAGCAAAGTAGCAACATTTTAAAAGTACAAACAACTTTGTTGGGTGAATATTAAAAGTCACCGAATTGCTATTTTAACAGTTATACACAAGAAATGCCCACGTCATAGTGATTACTAAAGATGACTGGAGAAGTTTTCAATTCAATCTTTTACAAAGAATGGTAATTTATATTAGAGTTTTGAGATATAAAAATATATAAATTCAAAATACTTAATACATAATACTTCTTACAACTGAACTGATCTTATCTTTGCCCCCCCCCCAACATGAAAAGAGAAAAATGAGCTAATTTGCTTAAACTGAACACCCCTGCTGCCTGTAGAAACAAGTGGGATTGTCACATTAACAATAGCTTCATTTATAAACAATACATTTAGGGAAAGCTTTTAAATACAGCAAGTTGTGAACCATTGGTCAGCAATTAAAAACAATATGCGTTTGTAGTGGTGTCGTCTCTCCTTGCTATATGGTGATGTTTAGAGTACTATGTCTTTTAGTCTCTTCACTCCTGGAGAGTCCTTTTCTCTACATTCTTGCAGAAGTGGGTTAATTTCATGCATTACATTTTCACTGTCTGCCCCCCTAGGCTCTGCCTCCGTAGGCCGAGAAGGGCCATTGTTTACAAATTGCTCCAGGTCACGGTTTACTGAGCAGTGCATTATGTTATAGGACACTGAAGGTTTGCTAGACAAGGGGCTCTTCAGATGGAGGGGTGATGTAACGGGGCTCATGGCTTCGCAGCCATTCCCTGCCTCGCGGACTGCGCCATTTACCTTTGGGCTGCAGATAGGCAGATCCACTGTTCTTTTTCCTTTCAGGTTGACAACCCGCTCCTCAGTGAGGGTTTCGCTCCCTTCTTTGCCAAATGTTGCAAAAGTTCTTTTTGTACTACAGTCTTCGTAAGGTTCTGTATCCACAGTGGTAGCTTCTATGGAGAGTGCAATGACGTTCCTTCCATGCTCAGGGGATTTTGCACGACTGGGGACAGAGTTCCGGGGCATCCAGCATCTGTCAGAGTGACCAAGGATCCGGCACTCTTCCCTACAGTGAAATCCTTCATTCTGATCTGCATGAAGAAAATACAATGGCTTATAAAATTGATAACTTTCTTTCTGGAAGTTGACCCTATAGCTCTTACTCACGGGGTACTGTATTGACACCAACACTGAAGTCTCATCAGCTACCATGGTGATGGCCATAGTGTTTTTTTCTCTGCGCATCCATACCACAGTTGTCAGCATCATATGCAGCAGAAAATCAATACTGACTTGTTTTGTAGGATCAGGCCTTTATCTATTATTTCTACATAAATGTGAATGTTTTTACAACAAACAGCAGACATTTTTAAGGTAACATTTTTAAAGGGGAATTTTTATTGCCACTTTTTTATTATTTTAACAGTCTGAAGTTCAATTTCCAACAAGTTGTGTGTCATTTGTTTTTCTGCTGCTGCTGCTGACAGAACTAAAACCTAAAGGAAAACAAGTTTTGATAAGAAATAAATTAAAACGGGTTTGTCCTGTGTGTCAAGCTGCTCAGAGTCAGCCTTTTTTTGTCCTCAGTAACCAATGCTAAAAGCCATCATGCTTTTCACTTGGTTCTACATGACAGCTGGGGTTGGGGTGGGGGCTTTTTTTAGTTGTTTGTTCTGTTTATTTTTACACATTGCTTAATTCCTTTTTGCCTCCCACTCAATCTCGGAGACTTTGTAAACACCCAGCACCAGCAGCTCCACTGAAGATTCAATTTGTCACTTCCAGCACTTGATCTTCCTTCGGATAGGAATAATGAAGATCCTTTTCCTGCCATCTGCTCCTGAACATAAAACTGCCCCTAGCAACATTTTCTATTTTTAATATATATGGGATAATATTTTGTGCTTCTCTAGGACTTTCTCTCTACAGATCTCAAAGCTCTTTATCAGCTCTGAGTCACATCTGCAACCTCTGTGCAAACCCCAGATAACACAGGACTGACATAGAGGGTCTACATCCAACCCAGAACCAAGTACATCCACTGAGTTGTTACAGCAACCACAGCCTACTCTGCTGGAATATGTGCTAAATGGAGCTACATAACCCACAAAACCAGCCACTTCTATGATACACACAGGGTGTAGATTTCCCAAGTAACCATCCTGTAGCCAGTCATGTTGTATAACAGACATGCAGTGGTTCTGTATCATTTAGGGATTTCTAAATTTGCATTAAGGGATAATTTCTCTCCTAATTAGCTGCACAATTCTCTGCGGGCTTGGAAAATATTCTGTTTTACAGATGGGGAAACTGAGGCAGAGAGCAGTTAAGTGGCTTATCTATGGTCACAGTGTAATTCAGTAACAGAGCTGGAAGCATGGGTTTTGACTTCTACTACCTTGGCCTAAGCACGAAGCATCATTTCAGACCAACAATGCTCCAATTCTTTCAATATGTACTAGTGATCCTAGCATTTCTTCCATTTGATCAGAACGTATACCTGCAGACAATTTAGCAAACCCTTCAAAGCAAACCCCTTTCAGGATAAAAAAAATATGTAGCTCATTTATATTGTAATCTGTATATGAGCAAAGTTTAAAAAAAAAAAGTCGTAAGAGTTAATGCTAATAATAATGCATTTAGTCCTTGTCGGTTTGATATATTGAACCTCATGAAGATGCACAATTAGCTTTGGTGTGTTTCCTGTCCATTTGAAAGCAGTTCATTTTGATGCTTTGTACATCTGTGTATATAACCTCAGCTTTTCAGATACATTTGTATTTCCACCACATTCTAGCACAAGGGCAGCTGATAAAAATTCTCAGCACATAACACAATGCACCAAAATATGAGCAGCTTAACACTTCTGGAGAATCTACAAGGAAAAAGCAAATCCCCAAAAAATAAAAGAAATAAAAGAAAAAGAAACCAATTCATTAAAAATCTATGTAAAAAAATGTTCACTGCTCCTTACATTCCAGCAGCTACCCTGTTGTACAAAAAGTGATGCTATGGGGCTGTGTAGGAGGTCTGGGTCTCAGTAGCCTTCTTGCTAGCACTCTCAGAAATTGATGCTCTAAGCTTTACATGCAGGACAACCTGCATCCGGATGTAAAAGCCAATGTTCTTATACTTTAATTTTGTTACTTTCAGTGACTAAAGCAAAATAAAGGGTTGCTCAGAACATAGCGCTGTCTGCCTTTTTATCCACACCTTAACATCAGAAGTATGCTAGAGAAATCCAAGGTTGTGTAGTCTAGCTGCCAGAGGTGGCTGGAGGGGGTTCAGAAGTACCTTGGGTTCTAACCTCTGATGAGATACTGATTTCTTGTGCTGTGTGACCTTGACTATGTCACTAGAACTCATATGCTCCTCAGTCCATTGTAAAAAGTATGGAAAAGCAGTCTGTCATGGAATACCAAGTGCAAGGTTTCAACCAAACCTTGCTATGTAAATTCCTAAGAAAAACAAATTTGCTGGTCCATAACTGATGATCCCGCTAGTATTTTATTTACACTTATGAAATCTACACTGTCCTTCAAAAAAGCATCAACTTCCAAAGAAAAAGCTCAGCTGCACCCCTTAAAGCTAAATGCAACAACATTTTGCTTTTGACCAATTCATTCCAGCCCTTGATATATCTGTTAAAACACATCACTTTGTCATTGATTACTGTGGATCAAGTGGAAACAGATGCCTCAGAAATAGCAAAAGAATCTTTATTTTGATTGCAGCTTTAATAAAGACTTCTGGCCTGCTAAGCACATCATCTTTCTATTATGCATTTACAAAACATTTTCCTGTGGCTGTTAGGAGGTGAAAGTTTAGCTATTTGTTCTGGACAAATAGCCACATATTTGTTTTCATGTCATCTTCTGACCTAGCAGAATAACTGATAAGAACTCAGAAATACTGACAGAATAGCTGGGGAATTTTACACAGATTTACACTCTTATATATATGAAGAAAGAACCTTGTGAAAGATATGGGACTGATAAACTGAGGCCTAAATCCCCCATCTATTCACAGAACAACTTTGCCCTGCATCTCTTGTTTCCAACAACATGCATCAACTTTGCTCTGGAAAGACTCTCTTCCAAAGTAAAAAGATGGCTTAAACTCTGCATCACATGCATTTCACTCACTAGGATAACTACCAGTCAGGTGCCAGTTCTTGTACCATTGTTATGATGGGCGTGCACAACCTCTAGAAAACTGACTGAAACACACTGATTCATTGTGCTAAGTCTGCTAGCCAGCAGGCAGTAATGCTACTCCAAGCTTCATTAGATGGCAACAGTGACATCTCCCTCTAGATGTGGGCTGGATTGGGCCTCCGGCTACAAGTAGATGTTGCATTTGTTCTGAGAAAAAATATTTTATCCCAGGACAAAGTGTGATCATTCAGACATTCGTGTCTGTTGTCCTAGGACAAATCCTAAAAAGATTCACAGGATCAGTGCTAACAGTTTGTCCTGGGACATCACAAAGTACTTCTGAATGGCTGTCCCAAGATTGCATCATTGAATCAATGGCAGAAAAGTAGCAGTGAATTCAGCTGTTCAGTAAACCTTGACTCTAAGGATGATACGTGTTCATACCAACACTGAGATTCTTGTGTTCTGGGACAAATAAAGACACAACTTGTACCAGGAAAAATGCAACATTTGTTCCTAGCCTCAAATACAGAGGTGTAAATACCAGGGTCTGTGCCCTAAGCGGTAGTGGCTGGGCCAGCTGTGGCATTAATGGGGCCAGCAGCTGCTGTTCTTGCATCCCTCTAAGGGGGCGGCCAGGGCTGCAGCCCCAGTCTCTCACCCCTCATTATGCTACTGTTCAGATACCACATGTATCATCATGGTAGGGATGACCAGACAGATTTAGTTTAGTAAGATAAAGGAGAAGAGCTCCTTGTCCCAGTATGGTGACCTGCAGATATTCACGCCTTCTCCTCTGCTAACATCTGTATCTTAGCTCTGTTATAAATGTCAGGTGTAACAGAAGCAAGAACAGGGATTGCTTTTCCCCCCCCAGCACTTGTGTGAAAAAGGCAAACACAACCAAGTTTTGCGTACTCCAGTTGCACTAAAGGGGAGGGTGACTAGGAGGGCAGTCCCAGAAGAAGTGTGTATGATGTGTGGCAGCAGCTTCAACCCTCCTATGCACCAGCCAGCAGTCACAGGAGAACACTGCCAGGAGCAGAGCACCTTAGGGACAGAAACTGCAAACAAACTGGTTCAAATCGGTAACACAACAGAAGTACAGTGCACATAAACTGCTTTCAAAATGGCCAAAACCGGATTAAGATAAACCTGGCTGGCAGCAGTATCAGACTTAACTGATTTAGGTTAAATCAATTTATTGAACTTCTGTCCCAGATCCTTTCTAGATTCAAGTTAACTCACAGTACCCCAGCATTCCAGGATACTTTGCCTCTCCCCTGCAAACCTCTCCTTGCAGGGCAGGTGGGTTAGCCATGACCCAAACTGTCTGTTCCAGCTGAGCAGGGAGGCGTGCTCTAGCACATCCTGGTTTCTGGCCTGGGCCACTGCAAGCATGTGGCTGCATTTCTGGAATCAAAAGTGAATGTCTGTTCACTTGCTTATTGGATCAATCTACACAGCTTAGACTAACTAACCTGCAAAGGTTGAATCCATTCAGCCTCAAACTTTCTGACTGACTGTACTTAGCTTGATAGAGCAAGTGCTGCAACTCCCACTCACAAGTGTACAGCCATGAGCACAACCCCCTCATCCCCTGTCCTGAGGCATTCTGGGTGCTCCTGCTCTGTGGAAGCACAAAGCCCCAGACAGTGCTGCTCTTTCTACTCCTTCCCCAGAGAGCTCCACCTTGCCCGGTCATAACAGCACTCACAGTATTTATTCAGAGTATTTATTCACATTCACAAACTGCCCGTTTATTGCAGTATTTTTTTAACAATTGGAAATGAGACAAAATTCTTTACAGCTCTAGACCCACCCGAGTCAATACAATTGTTACTGCCTGTACAAAAAATGTGCCTAATGTGAGAAACAAAGCAAAGGTAATAATAATCACATAGCAGTACACACAAGGCATACACAAAGGGTAG